CCTTTTCCCGGTTGTTTGGCTGAATGAGGTAAGATTTAAGAACAAAAAAGGGAGCCCTGCAGTCATGAAGGTTAGCTTTGGATGCATGTTAATCAGTCTCTGTTTCCCTGTCTCCTCTGTCTTTCCAGACAGCTGTGTTGGATGATGAAACAGCAGACATGTTTAAGAACGAGCTTATCTCCCCTGTCCAGATGTTGGAGATAATACAGAAGGTGCTGCTGGGGACAGGTGTGGCCATATTTGTGCTGTGTCTCATCTCCTACTGCATAGTGAGGAGGAGACATAACCAAAGCAAGCTTGCGTGAATATGTTGCATCAAATGTCTGTTGTGTGTGTGAGAGCATAGAACGTTTAAGCTGCTACAGGACATTAAACCTTTTGATAGAGACTTGCACTTTTTTTGGAATTTCAGTGTCATTTATAATGTCATACTTTCTTTGATGCTGGGGGGTAATACTGTGATTTTGTTCAGCTCAAGAGCTGAATTCTTTTGCCAAGTATTTTTTTTAATGCAAACACTGTTAACATTAACTCAATCAGAGATTTCTAGACTGAATTCTTTTGCCAAGTATTTTTTTTTATGCAAACACTGTTAACATTAAGGCAGCAGGTAAAGATTCCTGTCAACTGTCAGGCAGTCCTTTAGATCTCCTAACACAGACAAATGGCTTTGTCTAATACCGTATAATAGAAATGTACATGAAACTAATTTTGCGCAATTAGTCATGTACTTTGCCAAACTATTGTGTCTTCAAAATGAATAAAAGATGAAAAAGCAAGTTTTTCATGGGATTTTCTATTGTTAGTATTGGATTGATCTGACCCTGCATCAGACCATCAAAGCTAGTTTACTGTACACAGGTCCTCAGCCCACAATGCAACAGAGGCTGTCCTGGTGCAGAAACAAACCTCTGACTGTGGACACTGAAGCAAAATGATTCAATTTACTTTGAGTGGCCCATAAATGAAGAAAGAACGTGAGGGGATGACTATACTTATGAATGGTGCTTGGATTTATTTGGTTAGTAAGCAGCAAGAGACCGCTTTTCAGTGTTACAGGTTTGAAATGGCCCTCAACAGCCACCTGGGCGTCTTTGATTCTGCTGTTCAGTCTGAATCTTACATGTCACACAAATAAGGGAGCATTTCATTGAGTTTCAAACAGACAACTCTTACTCCCTTTTGCAACCTTGGGGTTTCTAAGCTACTACTCACTGATGTTTAAACTTTAGAATGCAAGTTTGTTATATATCCTGTACCCATACATACAGATTAAACCACTGAGTCATTGCACGTTAATTAGGCAAATGGTTACTTTTGGACAGACATATAGCTGCTTACCCTTTTCCAAGTCCTTGAGGTTCCCTAATACTCCATTCAGACCGATATAGTCCTGTGTCAGCCAAGGTTTATGAGTAACGTGTTTGAAACTACACTACAAACTTGCCAGCTGGAGTCTCTGCTGGCAGTGAGACACAGGGTGACAGCTGTCTCATGAATGGGTCCAGTGTTAGCTGAATACACATTGAGCAGACATGCGTCATGTGGGGTCTGCTCTTTGAAAGTGGTATAAGCTAAGCAGTTGATGTCCAGAACTTCATTTTCAGCGTACACATGAGAGTAACCTGTTTGTTGTCAAGAAAGTGAATGAGCCACAATGCCAAACTATTCCTTGATAGTAATATTCTTATTATATTACTTACCCTTATCATACATACAGCATGATATGCCACACCATGATATCTATGTAGACAGAGAAATGATGACGTGGCCAGAAACAGAAGGAGAAAGTTCACATGATACAAATAAAAATGTAGTCTGAAAATAAAATGTATGATGGTTCTGTAAAATTGACATTCATCTGAAATAATTTATTCAGGCTGTCATGACATTAATAAATAGAAATACATATGTTTTATAACACTGAAATTACACCAAGATGAAGCTGACATGATGCTGGTCACACAGTTTTATTAAACGTAGAGCGGAGATCTGTCCGAGGGAAGGTACAATACAACTAGAAAATCTTTTCTCAAAATGAAAATAATACTGTATAACTCTGCGATTTGCAGACACAGTCGTAGTTAGTCGGTGAAATATGTTGAATTTATATACACAGCTAAAAGACATTACCACAAAACTCAGCACAACATTAAATTAAAAGGGTGAAACAAACAAAATTACTTTGTACACAAACAACAAATAATTTCTATCTACATTAACTATGAAGTCTATCTCACAGATCATCACTGACAGTTCTGAATTATAACTACGTCCACTTTGCAGCTATTGAAAACATAGATCCAAAGAAGGAAAGAATTGTTTTTCATTATGTACAGAATCTAATGCTGTAGATTTCCATGTATTATATTAACATACATTATATACCTGAAGATAATAACTAACTTGTGCATCTGCTCTATTCCAGGCAATGAATTAAAGAATAACAGGGCATTTTGGCAAATACACTAATTTGCTCCTTTGCTGAGAATTACAGAAGATTGATACCACTGTCGTGTCTGTAAATATAAAGCTACAGCCAGCAACTGCTTGGCTTATCTTAACATAATGGGTGGGGGTAAACAGCTAGCCTGGCTCTGTCCAAAGGCAATAAAATCTTGCACAAAAAGGTAGTTATTATACTTGGCCTATAAATAGTAAAACCTCACAGACTTGTTTTTACACTTCAGTTTTTGCATGCATTAAACAAAATGTGCTAATTAGTTAGCTTTACAAGTGCTGCTAGGTGGCGTTCTACCCGTTTCCTCTTGTTTTTAGCCTTAGTGCTAAGCTGAATTGTCCAGCTAATGGCTCCAGCTTTGTTTACTGTATATACAGACCCAATCTTCTCCAAATTTTGAATAATGCCTCTGAAAGACCTTTACATTACTGATGATTTTCTTTTTATAAACATGCTTCTGTGCTGGAAAAAAGATGCCACTGATACAAGATGCAGCTGAATTGCAGTATATTGAGGCACCTTCTTGTACACCTCTGTCTGAGTAATAGTAATAAATATAGGAGAGATCATGAGAGGTGCGCACAACAGCTCATGCTACTTGATATTTTACTACTGTTTCTGTTTGGGTAATATCAGCACTTGATGTCAAATTTGGACTATGTGAACTAATAATTTTTTTTTTACTTACAGCACTGTAATATAACACTGTACTGGGACCACATGATGTCTGCACTTTGTATGAAGAGTGCTATTTTAGACAGCATGTCAAGCTGCAAACCTTAAAAAACAAACTCATTATGACCCCACATGTGCCCACAGAGTCCTGTACTTTTCACTGAACAGAAAGAATTTTGTTAGCTAGAAAGTAACCTTTCAAATGTGAGTAGAATCTAATTGAATATAATACTTAAAGAGAGAGAGCACTCATTCTCAAACATACATCTGTCTTTCTTTTGTCCCTTTTCAATCTCCTCTGTTTATCACCACAACTTTAAATTATTTCCAACAAAGAACAAACCCATAGTGAGTTAATATCCAGCCTGTCCAATTTCTCCCATCATTTTTAAAATACAAGATCACTGAGAGCAGCTGCGTCTCAAGGTGTATTATCCTAAGAAATATCAGCTGAGATTACAATTTATTAGTGGCACTCATAAAAGGGCCACTTCAGTTTGTGTTGTGACTGTGACAGCAAACAGTTGGCATGGGTGCCTGTGTGTGCCCAGTATATTAGTGTATGTCACAGCCATCTGGTCACAGTACCTCATACAAGAAAAGGAGATATAGCCGAAAAACAGCTCCTCACAACACCTCCTTGCTTTACTGTACATCCACAGTGCAGCTCTGCAGTTTGAGATGAGAATTGGATCCGGGTATAAAACAGCGGAAGGTGTGCATGTCAGTTTCTGTAGCTGCCAGCTCTCTGTGTCAGACCTCTGGGAAGTGATTGCGTCGGTTGCGGCTCTTCCTTCGGTCCAGCAGGGGCTTCAGCTTGGCCAGGTCTCCTCTGAGTTCTCCAGGTGGCTGAGGCTTCTGCTGCTGCCTCCTCCGCTGGAGGTTCTGGAGCTCTTGTCTCTCTTTGCAGTATTGTTGCACAGCCAGACTCTCTGCAGGACTGAAGGCTGCCAAGAGGACCTTAGGGTGCAAGGAGCTGGCCCACGCCCATGGTGACTGCCGCTTATCTGTCAGCATGCTCACCATGGCATCGCTCAGCACACGCAGGCGGATCTTGGCGACGGTGCGTTTAAAGCCATTCTCGGTGGTCAGACAGTAGTAAAGACCCTGGTCAGACAGCTGGACGGAGCGGATCAAGAGGCCGTTCTCCGTGGAGATGACACGGTCACTCAGCTTCACCTGCAGTTGGCACAGTTAGCTGGTGTCATAACCACTAACACATGGTTTGTAACAGAGACCTGGGCCAAAAATCTAAATACATGATCAAAATTAAAGAGAAAACTAATAAATCTGAATGCAGATTTAAGGGGGTCTCACAGTAGGTGCTATGGCCAATGTAGTCACCAGATCTCAACTCATTTAAACACATATGAGAGATTTTGATGAGACATCTTAAACACTGCTTTCCTCCACCATCATCACAACACTAAATGAAGTAACATCTTTTGGAAAAATCAAATGTTACATGACACATTACTAAGAAGCACATACTTCTGTATTGCACATACTACAATGACCCAAGAGCTTCAGTTTTTCATAAAAAACTAGAATGTGTATTTTTCTCTATAGCTTGAAGAAAGGTGGCACTACTCTTTAATAGGGTTTTGTTTGTAGGTTACAATGACATGATTAACTAGGAAAGAAAAAAATGTATGTTTACATACTCCTACAAATTAATTACCGAATTAAATTGAAATGACAGTTAAAGTAGAAGTGCTGAAAGGAGTTGAAATGTCACTCAAAGTGTGATGGATAAATTGAGCTGGACACAGGAAGTGGATGTCCTAGAGGATGTTTATGGTAAACATGTTGCAAATCATGTATGTACTGTAATTTGAACTATTTTTAATTTTTAGACCTTTTGTAGCATAATTTGGAAATGTAATATCTGCATTCTGGATTTGGTTTAGATTAACTTCTGGTGTGCTGTGAATCCATACAGACAGGGTGTTTTCCTGTACATGACAAGGTAAGAATAAGTTGTATTATCATCAATTTTATATAACCATCAGACTAAGCTGACACCCTTAAAGCAACGCTGCTTGTTCCTCTCCTCAGTGACCACTTTAAAATCAGCCAGGCTATACTGTAGTTTGGAAAAACATGCCAGTGATTACACACTGTAAAACTAAAGTGATTTATTTTAAAGTGAACTTTTATTCTTATGAGAAAATGGCTATATAACGACCATTACTCTGAGCCTACTCTGCAGAGATAAGAGCTAAATCCATAAAAGATGTATCTTTATCATGCAGGCGCTCTGTTGCCCAGCTTTGTGTAGTCATTCAAAGTGCTTTCACCGTGCTCAGATGTTTGTTTTGAGAATCCAGCAATTAGTCAAGGCCCATATCATGCTTGACCTAAATCACTACTCGTTATGGTGGCCTGCTGCCAATGGATGGTTGTTACATCGTTCCTCAGGCAATATAAGTCCTGATCAAGCATGTGAGCTCATTTGATTGCTATCAATGTTTGATATAATATTTAATAATGTGAATGGCTCCCTAGAAAGCAAAAAAGGACATTTAATGATATATCTTGAGGGGTTACCTTTGTGTCCTTGAGTGGGTGGAGTGGGGAGGGAGTGGTGTTGAGCCCTGACCTCTTTAAATGTCAAACTAACCTCTTTCCTCCTGTCATTGTCCCTCTGAATAAGCCACCGAATAGAGGCCTGAGGAGCCTTGGGAAGACACTCCAGGAAGGTGGTGTTGTTTTTCACGCCGTACTGTGTCATCTCCATTGCGTTTCTGTAGGCTGCAACACACACACGCACAGAGTCAAGGGAGGCACATCAGATGTCACTCGCTGACAGAAACAGAGTCCACAGATGGAGTCCAATCTGTCTCAAGTCCCAGCAGTGAGAGTGAAATGTTGACAAAAGCTTAGTCCGACAGCTGCAGTAGAAACACACTCGATCCTCCTCTCTTCAGCTTCTAGGAAATAACCTTCAGTGCATTGGACCAACTCAGTTTCGTCTCATTTACAGTGTTGTTTTTGTTGCGGCTAAATGGTTAATCATTCAGCTGGATGTATGACAGGGCTGTGACTAATTAGTGATAATAGCCATATGGCTGGTTCCCCAAGCTCACGTTAATTTAGAGATGTAAACTGTTCATGAAGAGTGAACACTCTGGGGAGTAAATCCTCTCCTCTCATTAACTGCTCCCTGCCAGTTGACTGGTTGGATTTTCATGAACGATGTGCACGACCTGGACTTACAAACAAACACATATACCCCAGAACACACATACGTACATAGCTGCAGCTGCAGTGTAAACCACTATGGTCATTTTACAATAAATAATACTATGAAATGTGAACATATTATTTACTGTGACATGGCAAATTGTTAACATTTGTGTGAATGTTAACCTGCTGCATAATGTAAAAGATTTAGGTAAGCGGTAGAAATTGATTTTCTTTGCCCAATTTGGGGCTGAGGAACTCAACAGGAGAAAATTTGTTATGACGTGCCTATTTATACTGTACATGTAGTAGACATGAAGCAACATTGGCATGTCATTCATTAGTAGGTTTGTTATTAATGTAAAAAGCTTAGTGCAGTTTTAATGACCTTTTAGATTGAATCCTCTACACTGAGTGAGTGGATTTCCATGCATAATGTCCTGCCTCCTGCTTCGCCTGAAAAGAGAAAGAAACAAATGTGTATAAATACACTACAGCTCAAAAACACAATCGTGAAACCTGAAGCTGCCACTGCCAAAACAATCTGTGCACACTCATGTAGAAGGGCTTGAGGAAAAGAACACGTAAGCTGGTGCATTTCAAAAACATTTTATGCAGGACAACAAGCTGTGTTTTTGTTCTGTGACCAAACTAAACTTGAACTGTGTCTGACTGGAATGGCAAGAGACAAGCAGCTAGTACTTAAAGAGGCAAGAGAGGTACAGGTTTAGAAGCGAGCTGTCACTCATGCCTCCTTGTCTGTGTTATATGCGATCACTTCTTTTTCATTCTCGGACAATATGTCCAACATCATCTCATGCTTGCATTCAGTACTGTTGGGTGCAGACAGTGACTGATTTCATAGTTGTTACATACTACTTTGGCTGTCCATTGGAAGCCCAAAACACCACTAGATGGCAAAAATCCTTGGTGGGCACCAGGTGGTTTTGAATGAAATGTAAATAGCTTGAATATTGGCACCAACTTGCAGTTATGTACCCTACAGCTGTACACCTCTGTGCACCTTTTGCTGGTGGGATAGAAGCGTGAGCAGCTGAATCCGTCCCAGGCACAGTAGGGGTCTCTGGCGAGGCAGCAGTCGGCACAAGCTGAGCCATAAGCGGGACAACGGTGCAGGGAGACCTGCGAGACCCCGAACTCCGAGCTGACGTACAGCTGTTGCTGAAAAGTAAACAGTTCAAATGTCAGCCTCTCTGTTTGTCTTAATAAGTGGCTGGCTGACATGAAAATAAAGTAGACCAAAACAATTATGGCGTATTATTTCTTTGGCTTTGGGAAATAATACGCCATAACTGTTTTGGTGGTCTACCTTATTTTCACGGTGGCGACCCCTAACAGGAAAAAGCCGAAAGTGACATTCATTCATTTCTTTGCCTGTGGGAGGCTTATTGTACAGTGGAGATTTCTCTTTTGTACATTACACACTGTAGTAGCCACAGACAATGAATAACAAATTAAAAGTTAACATGTTAGGAAACTGAACTTAGAAAAATACTTACTTTTTTGGGGGAAATTTTCAGGTTTGTAACAGGAGCTTGGTTCTGAAACCAAACACAAAGTCAGAGCTTTTAGATATTGTTGACAATTCTTTCTATAAACATTTTAAAGAACCAGTGGGAAATATGATTAGTAGTTGTTTTTTTGGTGAGAGTAACCAGCACCTTGAAGCTCATTATTTCTTTATTTATATTCTTATTATTTTTCTCATTTATTTCATCCATACAAAAAGTGAAGTGTAAAAACATCACATTGGGATTTAATGGGCAGGGTTGTGTAAACTAGGTTAACTGATAATTATTTACCGTACAGACAGGAGAGAGATTGATCTTCTCTTCTAAGTTTTAGCAAGAACAAATCACAAAATCTTTGGAAAAACTCCTTATAAAGCAGAAACTTCTCTTGAGTGAAAAACAGCCACATCAGAGAGGCTAGGATCAGTTTCTTGCCATGTTTCAGTTTCTTGCCATGTCTCTTTGTAGAAGAAATGAAATCTTTGCCATATTTTAAGAATAAATCTATTCTGATTGAAGCTGCTATATTCTAGGTGCAGTGGAAGATCAAAGTAGCCACGGCCTTTAGCTCCGATCACAGGTCGAACACATTTTAGATGTTTGAGCTAAGATAAAACAACATGTGGAAAAGTTCACTCAGGCCAACAACCAGACTTCTGCACTATGTTAGCATGTTTCCCATCACTCTGCACTGCAGAACATTCATGCATGCCACCCTGCCGAAGCCTCCCTCTTCCTCCCTCCCTTTGATTTTAGCACAGAAATGGGATGAAAGTGAGAGTGGGAAAATGACAGAGGAGAGAGACAGACAACAGACCTTAAACACTTCCAGCTCTTCCAGGATCAGATCTTCATGCAGGGAATGGTTGCTGGGCAGGACAATGACCTTCTGTATTGTACCTTTGTCTGGGGACAGAAAGCAGACATGTCATGGGCTGTAACCACAAACACATTTAAAGCTGTGTGAACAAATATGGCTGCACACGCTAACACAATTACTTAACCACGAATGCCCAGAGATGTGTGCTGACAGTGAAAATAAAACACAACTAGAATGTAAGCATTAAAAAAGTCTGTTTTCCTTTGCCCATATTTGCTTTTGAATTAGGCATGATAGTCCTGAGTTTCCGTAGCACAGTTGACTATGACAGAAGAGGGAATGGAAGCCTGCAAAAGAGGACAAGAGCCATGAAAAGGGCAAATGCAACATCATCAGTGAAGCCATTTTGTCCTGGGAGTTGGAGCAGCAGAGCAGGGAGAAGGACTTAATGTAACAGCTCCTGGAAATGACAGATAAGAGCCTCTCCCTCATCCTCAAGACATAGCACCTTTTTGGGCCCAGATGTGCTTAGACAGCACTGGCTTTTCTTCAAGAATCCAGGCAGAAGAAGCAGAACAGAGAAGCTACCTGATAAACACAAGCAGCAGTGAGAGAGAGTTCCAAAGCTACTCACTCAATGCAAATATGTGCACATGAGCACTAATATTTGCCTAATTATGTATGCCCACACAAACACAAAACAAACAGGTATGTATTCCACACTTGTGTTTCCTGTACTGGTGGCAGTGTCTCTGGAGCAACATTTACTCCCACAGCCAGCCTTCAAAACCATCCTGTTTTTGAGGTGTGATCATTTTCTACAAATGTAACCATATCTTGTATGGCTTATGTCAAGACTGACGCTGAATTAAAACAATTGCTGCAGATGCAAATCAAAAGACCTGCATGCTTTGTCAGCTGAAATGATGCCATAAAAGCTCAAAGTCCTCTTTAAAAGGACCTTGTCTCGCTGACATGTTTATGATCTATTTGTGGCATAATTGATCTTACATGTTGTGTTTTCAATTTAAGCTGCCACACCCACAGTTTACTATCCCCGCTGTTATCTGTTTAGCTGATGTCCAGCTGTGGCAATGAGTACCTTAGTGATTGCTATTTTTTATCATATCACTGACAATGTGTTGGCTGATATCTGACCTGCATGGCTACAGGACTGCAGTGACTGTGATGGCCCCATGGCCTTAAGAAGGACCTAGTGTTATTTTAGCACTGATTACACTGGAAAAATAAGAACAATTTAATTTGAAAATGAGTTTTCTTTTTCTTGAAAGAAGTGAAAAAGAACTGACTGAAGGATGCGTGTTATCACTTTACTTGTTTCCAGTTATTAATGCATTTTAAGGAACAGAAACTAAGTATTTTGATTGTAATGGAGTGATCTGTCTTTTTTGACACAAATACTCATGTTTTAGAGAAATCAAATCAAAAGCTTCCATCCATCCATCCATTTTCTTCCGCTTATCCGGGACCGGGTCGCGGGGGCAGCAGTCTAAGCAAAGATGCCCAGACTTCCCTCTCTCCAGACACTTCCTCCAGCTCCTCCTGGGGAAT